GTCATTACTGTTCACAATTCAATAAATCATTTCACAGCGTCGAACCATACTTAACTAGTGAACTGCTACCAAATCAACGTAAAACAAGAAGACAAAGTCATCAATATCCCCCGCAATGGCAAAATACTCTTCATGATAATGTCTACGAGTCATGATTATGTCAAATATTTAGGTGTGTATATAGAAAAGTGGAAGGAGAGCATTGAACGGTTTTTAAAGTTCTGCTCCAGAAAGGAGCACTATCACCAATTTCAGTCTAAGTCAAACTTGTTGCCATGGAAACGCCAAAAATTTTTTTATTCAAAATTCCAAAGCTACCAAAACGCACCAGTACACCACCAGATCTATGTATGCGCCAAGTTTGGTGAAGAAATAGTAAACGTTTTTAGAGTTCTGCTCCGGAAAAGAGCACAACCACCAATTTCAGTCTAAGTCAATCTTGTTGCCATGGAAATGCCAAAAATATTTTATTAAAAAATCCCAAACTACCAAAAGGCACCAGTACACCACCAGACCAATCTATGTGCCAAGTTTGGTGAAGAAATAGTGAACGGTTTGAGAGTTCTGCTCCGGAAAAGAGCACTACCACCAATTTCAGTCTAAGTCAAACTTGTTGCCATGGAAACGCCAAACATATTTTATTCAGAATTCCAAAACTGCCAAAAGGCACCAGTACACCACCAGATCTATGTATGTGCCAAGTTTGGTGAAGAAATAGTGAACGGTTTGAGAGTTCTGCTCCGGAAAAGAGCACTACCACCAATTTCAGTCTAAGTCAAACTTGTTGCCATGGAAACGCCAAAAATATTTTATTCAGAATTCCAAAACTGCCAAAAGGCACCAGTACACCACCAGACCAATCTATGTGCCAAGTTTGGTGAAGAAATAGTGAACGGTTTGAGAGTTCTGCTCCGGAAAAGAGCACTCCATCAATTTCAGTCTAAGTCAAACTTGTTGCCATAGAAACGCCAAAATTATTTTATTCAGAATTCCAAAACTGCCAAAAGCCACCAGTACACCACCAGATCTATGTATGTGCCAAGTGTGGTGAAGAAATAGTGAACGGTTTGAGAGTTCTGCTCCGGAAAAGAGCACTACCACCGATTTCAGTCTAAGTCGAACTTGTTGCCATGGAAACGCCAAAAATATTTTATTCAGAATTCCAAAACTGCCAAAAGGCACCAGTGCACCACCAGATCAATGTATGTGCCAAGTTTGGTGAAGAAATAGTGAATGGTTTTAGAGTTCTGCTCCGGAAAAGACAAATGTGCACGGACGGACGGACGGACGGACTCACGCACGCACGCACGCACGCACGCACGGACGGAGTCCATTTTAATACCCCCCGCAAAACGCGTTGCGGGGGATAATTATAACCCAGTTTTGGTGCTGTAACTTCAGACTCGCAGTGGAATGTGGCCGTCATACAAACACCCCGTATATTGAAGGTCTCTGCCTCTTTTGTCATGCTGCTGGCCATGATTACATAGAAGATGAATTCCATATTTTATTAATATGTCCTAAATATTCCAAACAAAAAACTGACTGTTTTTCAAAACTGAAACCTTCATCCGACTGTTGTCATCGCGGACAATATCCATATTTTAAAATCATTCAGTAAATATCTTTCACTAGTCCGCCGTAAATGGAATAAATAATTATAACATTAATTAATACTAAACTATACTCAGCTTTACTCAGTATGTATTTACTTTTGCCAAATGTATGTATTATGTGCCTAGGGCCTAAATTACCGAATACACCTGTCTGTCTGTCTGTCTGAAAGTACTCTTACTAATGCTGACGGTATTACTAGTGCTGCTGCTGTAACTACTACTACTTCGACTACTACTACTACTACTACTACTACTACTACTAGGAACATAAGAGTTGTAACAAACATCATTTACCTATTCAAGTTGGAGATGTACGTTCTTGATAGCTCGTACCCCGTTGTCGCGGAAACCTTTCCGAAGCACATGTCCAGTCAAATACGCAAGTTCACAAACAATACAACCTGCAGTTTTCTGGTCACAAAACTTCCGCTTACTGTCAAACGGTTACCTCCAGAGTGTTTCAGGTCAGTGCGGGGCCTCTAGCACTGACTAATCGCTCCCAGAGGTAGTGTCTCTCTGTGTCCGTCTGACGATTGCTCGCTCAATCTGTCTCCTGTATCGACTCAGTTGGTTGACTGAGCGCTCAGACTCATGACGTGCTATTGCAAGTTCCACGCACCAGGTACAAATTGATCTATGAGTATTTCTAAGGAACTTAAAGAAATCTTGCTAAATGTATTTGAACGTGAGATCTTTTGGGAACATAATAGTTTACTAAGTTGTCGAAAAGACAGAACTCAGCTTTTGGAAACCTAATGTATTTTACAGCAACAAACAGATAAACGACAGATCTATACAATCATTCAATTTGGAATGATTAGTCATTTAAGCTAAAAAATTAACATTGTTGGGCAGACCCCACTCCCTCCTTTAATGCAAATAAACGGTATTGGTAGACATAACGAAACAACTTTATGGACGACATCTTGTTTATTGCGTAGAAGGGCGTTTCTATGGTGATTCCGTAGCCAAGCACAAGGTGACAACAAGCAGGTGATGAGAAACACATGCGCAGCATGCTGTGACAAGCAGGAGATTAACAACAGCTACAGCAGGTAACTGAAAACAAGTATTTGGTGGAGATGAGACTTATAGATAACAGAAGACATAAACCCAACATACAAGGATTCTTAAATTGTAAACAAGCTAATCAAATGTTTATTGATAGAGTTTATTGCTTTGATTAAACTCTTCAGGGGTTTACCAGGATGGTTTGACTTTGTCATACTAAGTTTGATTCACAGATTACCTGTGACAGATAGACTTGAGGAGGCTCTGTTCACAATGCAGATTTCAAACATTCAACTCCAAATACGGTGATCTGTGGTAATAATTCCTGGTCAGGACAGGTCCGATTACTTATCATACCTTACTTTTAATTCAATGTTATTCCTAACCTAGGATCTTTCAAATGAACTTTTACCCTAGAATCATCTTTGGCATATATTTGTGTGCAGGTTTCCCTTAAAATTATTCAACAAGATCTGAAATGAATAATATAGTCAATCACTTATTTCTAGTAAATGATTAAATTAATTAGTTACAGTACGATGTACTTTAGAACAAAGTAATTTATTTAGACTGCATTTGTTTGGACAGAATAACCGATTATCAATAAAAACTTACGAAGGCCGAAGAACTCGAACACCACACTCATGAATACAACATTGAGCACAAAGACAACAGGCCAGGGCCCAGTTTCACAATTTTATCATAGCTACGACTGTGGTACGTCCTATGCTGTAACATAGACTTACGACAGTCGTAGCGCTACGATAGCTTTGTGAAACGGGGCCCTGTTAGTTGTGACACGTATTATTTAGAGACTTACTGCAATTGCCCTATTACGCCCCGGCAAGAGTTCAATCTTATGACACGTAATAGACCTTGATCGATCAATCAGTGGTTATGTTACAATTTTTTCATAATCCATGAAACGTAGCTTGACGTATCTGTATCCATATGGAAAGTGACAGGACAATTGAATTGGGATATCAGCTAAAAAATACACGTGGAAAGGTATTTTTTAAATGCTAAAACATACAAATGGAAACTACAATATCGTTCTTATCATAATCAAAATCAATTCTGAAACAAGACACAGAGAATGAAGTCTGAGTACAGTTATATAAATTAAAAGAACTGGTTCTTTGTTGATCACATACAACTGCGGAGAAAAAAACAACATGTTTAAAACAATTATCCAAACTTTTAAAATGTATTTGGAGATAACATTTAGGTTTGAGACTCACGCGTCAGGCGCAGTTGCATAGATGTTATGCACGTGAGGATTATACTTGAAAATACCGCTTGTTCCTGCGGTTTCAGTCACTTTTTCTCCTCTTGTATGATTTACTCACAAGCAAGAAGCACAATGTATTTCTATAATATGATATGAACTCATTTGTGTGTGATCACTAAAATAGAACAGGCGACAGTAAAAGTAGTTTGTCTGTACACTCTTCCTGACACAGACATTTGAGAGATATCAAAATAGGTGATTCCAGGCACAAACTGAACAAAGTAGTGGTAAAATCTTTCTATACATGTGCATTCAAACCTGAACAAGGGTTGTAAACGGAACCAAACACAATTTGTTTTGCTTTGGATATTCAATACAACATTGCATATTTTGGATATCTTGGAATATTGTCTTGTGCACACTGACGAGAATCAGAATCCCTTGTTCAAAAGGGATGTTCATGTTACTTTCTCTCAGAGAATGGTGATCAATTTCTAAACTAAGAAATGTGCAAATGAGTCGGATTCCTACTTTAGCTGCAGGTGACAATCACCAGAACACCCGCTCTTAATTCAACAAAAGCGATGATAACGAGACCTACCATAAGAAATGGGATATTTGATAGAAAAGAGTGAGTGAGTTAAGTTTTACGCTGCTTTTAGCAATATTCCAGCAATATCCTGGCGGGGAACAACCGAAACGGCCGGGTTTCACACATTGTACCTGTGTGGGGAATCGAACCCGGATTTTTGTGTGATGAGCGAACCCTTTAACAACTAGGCTACGAGACCACCCCTTGATAGAAAGGACGAGTTAGTTGTACGAGAAATCATGTAAGACACGTAATAACTCTTCGGTCCCTCACTCCTGAGCTGCAGGGGCTTCTGTTTATCACAAAACTGAAAAAAAATATGTTTGAATAGGGGCCTGTGAAAGCCGAATAACTGTCCGTGGCTAATACGTTTTCGCCCTGGATGCAATATAATGTAACAACAAAAAGCAATGGTAACTACTTTCTACGAGTCACTCATAGCCACACTATGCAATTCCCATGCATATTTCTGACATTTGTTTAAGATAGCACTATCTAAGTAAATTCTTATAGATAATAGTCACAAAATTGTGTGATGTCACCGGATGGCCTATGAGTGGGATGTGCTCTTCTCTGCCACATCCATGTATGGAGCAATAGGAGCCAGAGCGTCACCATATTTCTGCAACAATTCCACAGCTAGGTCCAGGGCGTGTGAGGCGTTGTCAGCAATCACTGTGTTCGCCAGACCACGTGTCCAGGTGTTGTGATATGAAGATAACTTCCGGTATGAGTTGTCAATTAACACGTGAGGAATGTCCAGTAAGGTGCACAGAATATGTCCATGTAATCTGTCTGTAATGACCACACGACCTCGCTGGAGAAATATCAAACCATTATTGGCCATCAGGAAAGCAGTTTCCATTGTCGTCTTTCCTTTTGGTGTTTTCCAACCCCACCAATCTGAACAGTGTACAGTAACCCCTGGTGGAAGTTTTGGTAATACATATCCAGGAGTCTCCTCGTCTGAACGCTTCAACCACAAAATATCAAAAGAAGGGGAGATAAATCTTGGAACAGCACCAATCTGAAAGGCCATGTCTGGAGCCATCATTAGTGTGGGTTTACCTTTGAAGTAAGTTTTTGCGTATCCTAAAGATTGCCTGTCTCTAAGTATCATAGTGAAGTTCCCTTGATTTGTGTACAATTTCTTACAAAATTCAAGATGTTTTTCAGAATGTTTCCTCAGAAATATGCTCTGAGGAAACAACACCATCTTAAAGTTTGAAAACCTTTGGAATATCTGTTGGCGTAGTCTATCATTTGAAGAATACCCCACGAGGTTCCCACCTCCGTGAATTAACACAACCAGGTCCTTGGGGGAATAGCCAGAAGTCTGGTTCTTGGCATAGTTAAGATTCTTGTTGGTACAAGCATAAAAGTTACAGTAATACAGAAGTTGTATACCCAGGCGTCTCAGAAGATACACCTCGCCCGTTGTTATAGCAGGGTCACCTTTGTTTTCAAAAGAAGCGATGTCCAATAGTATTGCATATTTGTAAGGAGATAGTAAATCAGAAAACAAGTTGAAATGAATTCTCTGCGCCTCCCTTATGACGGCAATGGACGATGTCAGAGTTGGAGAAAGTGTATCCGTTTCTTCTGGAGTCAGGATTAGTTTTCTTTGGAGAATGTCTCCTACCCTGGGCGTGTTTGTGGAAAAGTCCGGGATATACTTCGAAAATGCATGTCCTTCAAATGATTTCCCTAAGAACTCATTACATTTTGAAATACTCCCTGGTATAAAGTATCGATATACATCGTGGATGTTGCTGTTGTTTGTGCCGATGAAGGGTCTCACAATGATAGCACAGAAACAGAGAAAGGAAAGTCCCAGTAAACGTCTTCCAACGAATTCTGAAAAGCAATAAGAAAGAAGAACAATCATGTTTGATCACAGCATGTATGCATACGAATAGTAATGTTTCTGTACTCACACTGAAGATGTAGATGTGCCATAGAAATTGAATACTTGCCCAAAATGTTTCAACTCATTAATACAAGCAAATGCTTGAAGATGTCAACGACCCCAGTTAATATAATGCCAACATGTATTTAAAATAATGCTTCCAGTTTTGCAATCCATTTCTGAGATATTTTCATGTTCATTGAAATTCTACATTTCAGCTACTAAATAGCGAAATACTTACTTGTTGGTAGACTAATAATGGAGGAGAGGGCGTGTTCTTTTTGGCCAAGACATAGATAGTTAAACCAAAGGTACAGATACCAAGTCCGATGAAGTTAGCAAACGTTGCCTCCCTTTGTCCTGCTGAATAAAGCATCAGCACAACGAGAACCCTCTTAAAGATGTTGGCGACAGAGTGACTGACTACAGACATGTAGAGAAGCACGACGTTGGTGGAGATGTAGGAGTAGATGACGTGGAAGACGCTGGAGCACAGTCCTGTGTTAACCAGGAATAAGAACAATGTTGACAGACGTTTTTGTGAAGTAAGGTAGTTAGTGCCAACAGCCAAGGCAACACAAACACCTGCAATGCTGAAGACAAATCGCTTTGGTCTCAGCTGGATGTTTGAAGTCGAAGAGTCCTTCTGTTCCAGTTTGATAGCCACGTTTCTGAAGGCCAGGATTAGGTTGGACATGAAGGCCACGGCAATACCAGCAGCTGTCAAAGGCGTGTTAAAGGAATTTCCACAGAAACCAACAGCACCTCCTATGATGATAGGAAGAGTAATATAGGCGGAGGGTGGTACAGATGTTCCTAAAGCCAGACGCTGAATAATGGCACTGGTTACTGGTTCCAGGAGCTTTATGGCGAATGTTGACGATGCATGTACCATCGTCATGCTGTAGTTTGTTGCCATGGTAGCCAACGTGTGACAGGAAACTTTCACCCATATTATCTTTTTGGCCTCTGTTGAACGTGGGTGCCAGAGACGTAGGTCGGTTAGCAGACAGCACATGGTAACCTGACATAGTGTAATGATAAACGCCCATAAAACCCCATTCTCTTGGACGTTGGCGGATGTTCCCAAGAAGAGATAGGTAGACTGGTGGCAAAGGAACGAAGTCACAGCCCAGCTAATGAATGTTGCAGAACCAAAGACGAACGTCCGCTGAAAATAAGAATTATGGAATTTAGATTATGTGCAGCGTTCATTTCAATAATGAATCGAGTTCAAAATCTAAAAGGTCATAAAGTTTTTTTCATCTGTTAGAATAACGCGATGTTTGAGTGTAATCTGAGTGCGCGTGAGTGCCAATTGTACCTCTGAGGGATTGCGAGAGAATGTATAAATTAAAACTTCTGCTATATTTAAGGAAAGAGATCTTTCTTCATTGCGTAAGTGCTTTGACGACAGTAACATGTTAAAATAAACAAAACCCGGGCATGTGAAACCACAATGGCTGTCAGATCACAATGACACAGCCATGTCAAACATTGTAACTGTTCAATATTCAAATCAATCAAGTATGGAGCACTGGAATCTTTTCCTCCCAAGGGATGCCCTTACCCATATCACATATCATAAATTAAATTACCATGTTCAAAGAACTTATCGGTATTTTGTCTCGGAGACCTATTATTTACCATTCTGAATGTAGAGCAGGTTCTTCTCTGTAAAAGAGTAAAAATTCGCTTCCTTTAGATTATCATTTCGTTTAAGGTTATACACTTAGGAAAAGCTGGCCTACTGTTGCTCTTCCATACCTGTAACAAGTGGAGATGAGTGAGTGAGTTAAAATTTGTAGTCACATCGGCAATATTTCAGCCATATTGTGACTTAAAAAATTATAAATTAACAATAAACACAATTATATTATAAAACACCTGTCGACGAAGTAACAGTAAAACAACTAGATTATCACAGGAATGAATTTAAGACTAGTAATCAAATCTAAAATATTTTACCTTTAAATGACAATACAATATACAAACCGTCTATAGATTGCCAACAACTGAAGGTAGATCACAATACTAAGGACCTTGGGGACTTACAGTGCCTTTGCTACCTGCATGGACCCTAGTTGGATTTACACCATCCCTTCAGCCATTGGCGTTTATTCTGAGATTTAGCCATACATTAAAATGACAAAAATACTTCGATTAAATCACCTGGTAGACTTGCAGAAGAAGTCGGACACCCAAGTAGGTATCAATAAATTTTAAAACCCTATATTGGTTACACCTACTTGGGTTGCCTCCAGATTTGAGGAGGATGCAACGATGTCGCATTGGCCATACGCGTTATACTCACAAGTACCAGTTAGAAGGTGAAGAGGTATCCCTTTGGATGAGAGCATGGTCAAGCAGCGACATGCTTGACTGTGTTGAATTTTTCATCTAAGGGATAAATATTTCAAAGTAAAAACTGTTAAGGATCCATAATAATGTCCATTTATTATTTTGATTCATATGTTTTGTCTACATGCATTTTAGTATTGGTGATTTTCTAATCGAAGTTGTTGGTAACGTAAATATAAATTGTCCTCCCAAAACATTTTAAGTAAATTTAAGTCTACCATTTTTAATCGCAGTATTTTTGTCATTTTAAGTATGGCTAAATCTCAGAATAAACGCCAATGGCTGACGGGATGGTGTAAATCCAGCTAGGTTCCAAGCATTTCCCATGGTCCATGTATTGTGATCTACCTTCTAATCAATTATAGCCCATTTTTAGATTGTATTGTCCAAAAATAGTTTTCTTCTTTTAAAACATATATGCTAGCTAGTTTTAACTCATTCTGTGATAATCTAGTGGTTTTACTGTCCTTCGTTGACAGGGTTTTATATATTATATGTATGTATGTATTATGCATTTAGAACTAGTTTTAGTCACGATATGGCTGGAATATTGCCGATGTGACTTTAAATTTTTATATGTCCTGATATGATCATTCAACAGAATGAATACGTTTTAAATGTGTGCAAACTTTTATTCATCAAATCAAAACGTTTTGTGTGATCACATACATTGTGTCCCTTCCTCTCTTTAACTTTCCTATATCTTCTCTCTATTCTTCCCAAGATGTATATTATTGAAAATGTATGTATGTAAATATTAGGGAGCGGGTATTTTAAGTTGGATAGCTTGTCCCCAATCCCTTTCACATTTGTGAACAAAATATGTTTAAATCAAATCAGAGAGTCTGAAAAGATTATATATTCTGGCCTCACCAACTGCCAAGGGGGAGAAGAAAGAAGACGGGAAGGAGATATAGTTTCAAGATCAAAGCCAGCAGCAGGAATACGTGTAAATGGTTTAATTTGGAGCCCAAGATGCGGAACAAGGGAAGATTTCTTGTTTTATAAATCCTCATAGAGGGCATTGAAGACACAGTTGAAAGCAGGGTTAGATTCGTTAGAATATGATTCTGTAATATATTGTAATGATAATTGTATACGCCGTTGTGCAAGAGATGGTTCATCTGCCTCGACGTAGAGACTGTCAACAGGATATGTTCTAAAGGACCCAAGACAAAGTCTTAGACCTTGGTGGTGGACAGAATCTAATAGTTTGAGGTCGCTTTTGCAAGCTCCACCGTATATAATGGAGCCATAATCAAGCTTGGAGCGGACCAGTGATCTATATAGATGAAGGAGGGTAGCTTGATCCCCTCCCCACTTTGAATTAGAAACGACTTTCAACAAGTCAAGCGCCTTCAGACATTTGTTTTTGAGATATTTGATATGCGTAAGAAAAGTTAAATGGGAGTCGAAAATCAGACCTAAGAACTTGGCCTCCTTGACAACTTTGATCGGAGTGTCATTTAAAAACAGTTCTGGGTCTTTATGTGGTTTATATTTACGGCAGAAATGTATGCAATTAGTTTTTGATTTCGAGAATGTAAAGGCGTTTTCAAGACACCATTTATTTATTTTGTTTAAACACAACTGCAGTTGCCGTTCAATAGTATGCCTATTCTTACCGCGACAAGAAATATTAAAATCATCCACAAAAAGTGATCCATTGATTGAATCATTTAAAACCTTTGATAAACTGTTAATCCGAATACTTTCAATGTTACAGACAAAATACTGCCTTGTGGGACACCCTGTTCCTGATTGTAATGGTCAGACAGGGTTGAACCCACTCGGGTTGAAATTGCCTGCCTGTTAAAACCTGTGATATACAAAGCGGTAAACCAAAATCATGTAAATCCTTTAAAATACCATACTTCCAGGTGGTATCGTATGCTTTCTCAAGATCAAAGAATATCGATACTGCATGTTGTTTATTTAGTATTGCAATTTTGACAAAGGATTCTAAACGTACCAAATGATCAATGGTACTACGATTTTTCCTGAAACCACATTGAATAATTGTTATGAGGTTATTGGTTTCAAGATACCATGTTAAACTATTGTTTACCATTCCGTGGTTTTACAGACACAACTCGTTAAAGAAATTGGTCTGTAATTTGACAGATCAGTATGATCCCGGCCAGATTTTTGGAATGGGGACTAAAATGGCATTACGCCACGAAGGTGGGAAATCCCCTGAAGTCCATATTGAATCAAAAATATTTAGAAGAATTTCAAAACATGATCCAGGTAAATGTTTCAAGAGCTGATAGTATATATTATCAGCTCCAGTTGCTGTATCATGAACTTGCCCAAGGGCGGTATATAACTCATGCAGTGAAAATAGTTCATTATAATCTACACCATTGTCAGAGTTAAAATTAATTCTGTTATTCTCCTTTTGTTTCTGGTGTTTTTGAGTTTTCAGTACAGTGTTTGAAATAATGACCAGTTGGCCATATAGAAATTCCACCTGGTTGCAGGTGGATCATCATTTGGGTTTATAGCTGAAAGTATTGTGGGGAAATGGTCACTACCACACAGGTCATCATGGACTTACCATTCAAATTCATTATAAATATTGGGATCGGTGAGAGACAGATCAAGGGCAGAATAAGTTCCAAAACCAGGATGAAAATAAGTGTCTGATCATCATTAAATATACATAAATTGTTATTAGAAATAAAGTCCTCGAGGATTTTCCCTTTATTGTTAGTATCGGTACTTCACCACAAAGGGTTGTGTCCGTTTAGATCACCCATGATAATACAGGGCTTGGAAAGCTCGTCGAACAGATCCTGAAGATCGGACTGCCGAAGAGCAGAAGATGGGAAAATGTACAGTGAACAAAGTGTAAAGGTTATTTGTAGAGAAAGGTGGACAGCAACAGCTTGAAGATTGCTTTTAAGTGGGACAGGGCTATGAATAACACCCTGCCTCACCAAATTAGAAGCGCCACCAGTTACTTTATCACCTGGAGGTGAAAACGAATGCAATGGATTGTACTGACGAAATTCAAATTTATCTGTACTTTTCAGGTATGTCTCTTGTAAACTAAAAGCCAATGATTTAAAATCCCGTGATAATAATTGTAGATCATTAAAGTTGGTCCTAAGACCTCTGCAATTCCATTGTATAGCATTATGTGAGCCACTCATGGAGGCTGAACGAAACGAAGTCCCTTTATGCTGAGATGGTTGTAAGGGGCTTGTCTCCATATATAAAGGTTCAAAAGTGTTATGAACCTCTGTAGGCACAGTTAATGGTAAAGGCACCTCAATCTGTTTAAGGGCCTTTGATTCTTTTCTTCTTTGTTGTTTCCTTTCTTTGTTAGACATAGTTTTCTTCACAGTTTCATGAGGAGTTTCAATCACAATTGTATTTGAACGTGGAAGGGGATCTGTGGAGTGTGCAGTTTGTGAAGCTGCTGATGACGTATTGGCGTATTCTGTATCGACATGGAATAATAATTTCTGATCATCAGAGGTCTAACTAATAGCAGTTTGGCTCCCAGAATCAACTGCGGAGTAGGATACTGTCGAAGAGGAAACAGATAATTCCTGACCAACCTGTTTCTTTGCATCAGTAAAGGAGATGTCATTGGTATGCTTCACTTGTAAAATTTTAGTTTCTCTCATAAAACTTGGGCATATTTTGGAAGAGGACATGTGGTCACCGTTACAATTGCACACCTGATGGTATCAGTGCAGTTCGTTCCATCATGAGTTTTACTGCAACGGGTGCAAATTTGGGTGTTTCGGCATGACCTTGCACCATGACCAATTTGTTGGCAATTAAAACAACGAAGTG